AGCAATAGAGTGCTGCCTCCCCCCCTAAGGACTCCACTCGATGGCCTTTTGCTGCTGGGGCAGACGTGAGCACAGCAGGACCTACGTTGAGAAGGGGGATGCGCAGATCTATAAGCAGCACGCAGGGAAGAGGCAGGACATGATGCTTCTCCTTCTCCTCCTGCAGCAACAGCTGCGTCTGTTGTTGCTCCTGGTCTTCGTGCTGCTGATGATGCGTGTCGAACACGCAGAAATATGAACGAGAGCCACTTGGCCTCTTTATTGAAACCCCAACAACCAAAAAGCGCTGCGTGAAGTCCGTTACAGGCCAAGCGCAGAAATCAACCCCGTTGCTGCTGCTGCTGCTGCTGCTGCTGCTGCTGCTGCTGCTGCTGCTGCTACTAGCAGCAGCAGCAGCAGCAGCGGAGGCGATGTCCTTGGGCGAGCCTAAGCAGATGGTCTGTTGGCACGGTCCTAGTAACGGGAGCTGCCGGTTCTGTTGCTGCTGCTGCAAAATTTCGCGGATGCGGAGAGGGTAGAGCTGCAGATAAAATGAACCCTTTGAGCAAANTGCTGCTGCTGCAAAATTTCGCGGATGCGGAGAGGGTAGAGCTGCAGATAAAATGAACCCTTTGAGCAAACCACTAAATAGGGAACAGAGTCCGCATCCTCTCCGGCCCCTCGGCCGTACACCACACACAGCTGAAACGGTTCTGCTGCACTCTCCAGCTGGTGCTGCTGCTTTTGCTCCTCTTGCTGGTGCTGCTGCTGCTGGTGTCTCAACAGGATGCTCGTGGGGTCGAGAGACCCTAGATAAGAGAAAAATGGATTGGCGTTCGCTGCTGCTTGCTGCTGCTGCTGCTGCTGCTGCGTTGGTGCAGCAGCGGCTGTATCCGCAGCTGCAGCAGCAGCATCCGCAGGTCCCGCTGGCAGCTTCATGCCGCCTACCAGCGTGGCGTCCCGAAGGTCATTTTGGTGTACCTACAAGGCGAAACAGCAACAGCAATAGGGGCAGGCGAAACAGCATATAAAAGCTATCACCCTCGGCAGCCCTATGCCTCCGTCTGCTCCTCTGTCTTCAGTGCTGCTTGCTTCTTTTGTTGTTGCTGCTGTCCGCTGCTGCAGCTCAGCGGACGCACACTGCCTGACTGTCTGCCTATGAATGCGTTGGCTACGCGACACCTGCGTACAGGCGACAGCATGTTATACTCAAGTGTATGTACATTCCACCTCTGACAGCCTACCTTCAGCTGCCACGCGGTGACACTTCTATCCATAAGCCCCAGCAATAAGCATCCTTCCCTAGAAGCCAAACAAACAGAAGAGACCACTGGTCTCTCGTTGCCGCCTCCCACTGTGAAAGGGTCATGCGGAAATGCTGCTGATGCTGTTCCGGATGCTGCTGCTGCCGCTGCTTCCTCCAGGGGCAAGAAACAGCAGCAATAGTTGGTCCCCTCAGCAAATTCTGCCTGCACCCGCAACAAGACAGCACCCCACTCGCGTCCCCTGCTGCTTCTACTGCTGCTGCTGCTACTGCTCTGCCTGAAGCCGCTGCCGCCACTGCTGCTGCTCTTGATGCTGCAGCGGCAGAGGTACACGCGTGCTTCTCTGAAGGCGCATATATCCACCCGCAGATATAGATGGCATGTACATATATACACTCATATATATATATATATATATATATATATATATATATATATATATATATATATATATATATATATATATATGCATACTGGAGACACATACACACGCACATGCACTACAGAAGTGGGTGCATATCACTGGCACGTGATGTACACCATCCCCCAAATATGAACAGCAAGGTCTGCATTAGCTGGCGTCCGCTACAGAGTTGCAAGGGAACAAGAAGCAAGCGTGCATGCGTGCAAGCGTGCATGCGTGTCAGTTGTCAGGTGTGCCAGGTGGAATTGTTGCGGACTTGAAGGGAATCGACCTCCGGTTCTTTCCTGAGGGCAATAGCCAGGATGCGGAGGATAGGAACAGACCATACGGCTACGTGGTGGCGCTGCACTGTAACGAAAAAGCAACCACCCTCTGTCTTCGCATCTTCTGCTGCGCTTATCCCCGCTTCTTGCTGGTCCTGCTCCGGCAGCGGCGGCAACCAAAAAACGTCCAGCAAAGGGCCGTGTTCCTGCAGGTCCAGCTGCAGGTGCGCAAAGGGAACAGCAGAATCCGCTAAAAGGCCCGCTGCTCCCCCCGCTGAGGTGGCCGGTGAGCTCCCTTCGCTGTCTGTAGGGGCCGAAGACGTAGTCCCCATATGAGCAGCATAAGCATCTGTCTTGCGCTTGAACACCACAACCAGGCCAAAGGTGTCAGCAACAAGGACAAAATGGGGCTTCTCCTGACACATACACACATGTGTTGCTATGCGAAGGGCCTTGGCCGCCTGCGGAGGCGGCGACAGCGAAACCTGAATAAATGCACACACAAACAATTCAAGTATTCGTGCATGTAACGGTTGCCTGCACTACCCAAAACAGGTAGAAAAACTAACTCGGCAGTCATACCCCCACAAACAAAGGAACAAACGAAGCAACGCAAAATCCATGCAACAACTGCGCTAATACCGCCACCTGGTGGTGGTGGTGCTGCTGCTGCCGCTGCTGTTGCTGGGGCAGCTGCTCATTGCGGACTGGCCCAGGGAACCTTAAGGACGTAGCTAGACATATGTGCCCTCACGGAGCGAAGCAAACAAAGACGCACAAGGGTATATACTATTCCTACGACAATAAATCGCTGCTCTTACCCGGCACACAGACGTAGCCTCGAGGGCCTGGTGGTCGAGGACCCGCACCACTCTAACAATCCCTGGCCTGACGGAGTAGCCGACAAACTCAGCGTTAGCTCCGATGGCTCTTTGGGGGGCAGCTGCAGTTGCAGCGCTCGAAAGTGTAGGGGGCTGGGTAGATGCGGGCAGCAGCGCTATGTCTAGCTGACATGGGGAACCACCACGTTCCCCGGAGAAGACGGGCGCCCCGTATTCGTCTACTTCGAGGGGACGCTCCGGGAAGATTGCAGCATCATCTTCCATAAACACGCAGCTCTTGGGGCCCCGCAACGGCAATAATATCATGTCGGGTGCCACATCGGCTGC